ATCTTGTAGTGTTTCTGACTGGATCTAAGACACAGTGTAAATTATCTATGGTCTGATTGGGTTGTAGTGGTGATGATTTCATTAGTGTTAAAGGGGGCAGCTTTCCTGCCTCCAACTTCTCCCAAGGCTACCAACATAAGGTACCAGCACACAGTTCTGGATAGATTATCTAAAGTTAATTGGAGCCAAGCAGATAAGATAAATTTATTAGGAATGAGTCAGGTGCAATATATTGGTGTTTTTCTATGGTAAAGTAAAACCCTATACATGTAGATACTCTGTTTGTTGACACAGTACATGCATATTTACAAAGGTAATGGTTTGAGACTTTTGGAGAGGATAATTCCTGTCCGCCATTATTGTAACTGGGATATTATCTTACCATATGCCATATGCCACTGCCAGAACATGCGGAATGAGATTAAGAAATTTGAGCCACTTTTGATAAATTCCTGTACAGGGTAGTACCGTCTGTTCTACTATGGGATATCATTGTGTTATATAACTGTATATAAACTCTGAATACATTGTGATATTTCTCCACCATATTCCACTACACTGGAATCTTCATTATAACAAGGATTGTTTTCATGTGCAAACTAAAACATGTTGAAAAAACTGACTTTGTGCTTTGATGATCATGATTACTTTTGATGAAGATTTTTATTTAATATTTGTGATTGTCTTATGGCAAGTTTGGTGACATCAGGAAGTTTAACATCCACAGAAGTTTTACCTGGGATTATTATACCTGGAGGACTTCACCATTACAAATGCTTGATTTGGAAAAGATGTTTCTGAACTGTTATTGAGATAAACAATTATCTTAATTATAATTTTGATGTAGATATCATCCAACTTAACATCAGTTGAAACACAAAGTATCTGGAGGACACCATCTATAGTGTTGACAAGTTATATAAGGAAACTCCTAAAGACAGTTGAACTCTGATGATATCACATTGTAAACAACTTGGTTAGAATTGACAGCTGTCACATTTCACACCTTTTCTTGTGAATTCCTGTTTACCTGGATGTCGTGTTGATATTTCAGCTGTCATTATCTGATGTTGTTATTCAATTTACGACTTCGCAGCAGAGCCAGTATCTTGTTTGAGTGTATCAGCCAATCATATCATTTACTTTGATTTTATTGCAATATCCCAGCTAGAAATTTCAAGATACTTGTCGGTGAAATCATGTAAAAACTTGTGGAAAACATAGTTGTGTATCCATAGCAACAGATACAGATATCTAAATTTCTTCACATAAACAGGCAATTCCAATGTTATTGGAAAAGCGAAATTTTTGGCATCAATTCAAGCTGTGATAAAATATTTTTTAAAAATGCCATCTCACCGAAGAAGCATCATGATTGTTGTATATTGTACATTGGCGGACCAGCTGAGTGGGAATTCACAGAGTCTACTGGCTGTTAACAGTGATCAAGGACAATACCAACGAGATTTAACAATGGATAATCGGCATACCTGGTCAGCGTCTTATAGTGGTCAGGTAAATAGATCTCTGAGAAACGGTTCGATTACCTTCAACCTACAGTGGTCTGGTAAAAAGACAACCTTTAGTTTATTGTGAGTAACTGAATAGACGACTTTCAGTCTATAGTGGTCAGATAGATAGATGACCATCAGTCTATAGTGGTCAGGTAGATAGATGACCATCAGTCTATAGTGGTCAAGAAGATAGACGACCATCAGTCTATAGTGGTCAGGTGGATGATTGACCGTCAGTCTATAGTGGACAGGTAGATAGATGACCATCAGTCTACAGTGGTCAGGTAGATAGATGACCATCAGTCTACAGTGGTCAGGTAGATAGATGACCATTAGTCTACAGTGGTCAGGTAGATAGATGACCATCAGTCTATAGTGGTCAGATAGATAGATGACCATCAGTCTATAGTGGCCAGGTAGATAGATGACCATTAGTCTACAGTGGTCAGGTAGATAGATGACCATCAGTCTATAGTAGTCAGATAGATAGATGACCATCAATCTATAGTGGTCAGGCAGATAGATGAACATCAGTCTATAGTGGTCAGGTGGATGATTGACCGTCAGTCTATATTGGTCAGATAGATAGATGACCATCAGTCTATAGTGGCCAGGTAGATAGATGACCATCAGTCTGTAGTGGTCAAGTAGATAGATGACCATCAGTCTGTAGTGGATACCAGCCAGTTAAGCAGATGACAAACTGTAAGATGATGCCTAAACCAACAGTGACCCACAATCTATAGTGGTCAGGTAGATGAAGCGGCCAGGTAAATAGATGACCTGCCTATAAGTCACAAATTGTAAGATGACCCACAATCTATAGTGGCTGATACCAGCCAGTTAAGCAGATGACAAACTGTAAGATGACCTGCCTAAAGTGGTCAATAGGTCACAAATTGTAAGATGACCCACAATCTATAGTGGTCAGGTAGATGACCTTCAGCCTATAGTGGTCAGGTAAATAGATGACAAACTGTAAGATGACCTGCCTATAGTGGTCAATAGGTCACAAATTGTAAGATGACCCACAATCTATAGTGGTCAGGTAGATGACCTTCTGTCTGTAGTGTTTAGGTAAATAGATAACAACCTATAAGATTACCTTACATTTTTGGTTGCAGTCAGGTAAATAGAATGTTAATTCTATTAGGATATCTAAAGAACCAAGAAGCTGAGACAATATAGAATGGACAATATTTATTGCTGTGATAAATTGGTGTCAGTTTTGTTGTTAACAAGAGAAACATGTTGAAAATGAAAATAACTCCTTCTGTTTGACTGAGGGATGTAGGGAAATGATGTCAAGCAAGCTAAAATTAATTAACTGTGATAAAAAATTGCCACATCTGTTCAGATGATGACCTTCACCCACCTGACTATCGAAAACAGGGGGTCAAATCAGTTAAAAAAATAACTAGTTTTCATTTGCATAAAAAAATAGCTGAGGTCATGGTATTAAAACAGCTTTATGTTTTGATGAAGACTATCATGTTGCTATAAATAGTCTTCTTGATAACCTAAAGATCCTGGAGTTTGATTATAATTGGTCTGTAGTAAAAGACTATCTAGTCTGTTCAAATGAGTGACCTTGACCCACTTTCAAGATCACAGAGAGGAAATATGCTGAAAACACAGAGCATATATTTTCTAAATAACACCTGGCCTTGTGTGTTAACATTTAGCTAGATGTTTGTTGAAATTAATTATCTTAGCCTTCAGATGGTGGGCTATTCAAATCACTGTGTCCGCGGTCTGTCATCTGTCCATCTGTAAACAAATTTTGTTATCACTATTTCTTGAGAAATACTCGATGGATCATTCTTGAATTTCATATGTAGGTTCCTCTTAGTCCCTAGTCGTGCCATTTTGTTTTTGGGACTGATCAGAAAAACAGAATGGCCAACAGACAGACATCTTAGATTTTGACTTTGAAAGATTTTTATCACTATTTCTTAAAAAGTACTCTAAAGATCTTTCATAAATTTCATATATAGGTGCCTCTATGTTCTTAGTTGTGCCTGATCAGAAGAAAAGAATGGCTGACAGGCAGCCATCTTAGATTTTGCTTATTAAATATTGTTATTCCTATATCTTAAGAAGTACTGAATGGATATCTCTCAAATTTCCCTTTGGTCTCTCCTTGTGCTTGTTTGCTTTTAGGACTGATCAGAAGAAATAAAATGGCTTCCATACGGCCATTTTGAATTTCTCAGTTTAAAATTATTATTGCTATTTCTGCAAAGGAATGTTAAAATGTCTTGTTATTAAGAGGAAAAAAAGAGAAGAGAAAAGAAGGGAAAAGATCCAACTTTAAAAGATCATATGAAGATCAAGCAATGGTGGGCGCCAAGATCTCTCTGGGATCTCTTGTACTTGGTTATAAAGTTTATTTTGTTTAGATGAATGATTTCAATGTATGGTGTCTATCACAGATTTAAAACTTTGTAAACCTAAGTTACGTTTCATTATTATTTTCTTATAACCATAAGGATTATAGATTCTTCTGTTAGTTTGCCAATATCATGAGAATCAAAATTGAAGACTTTTGCCATTGATGATCGATAGTGCTGACGTTACTGTCACTGTATTTAGAACTATCATCTTCATTTTCTTGTCTTAACATAGCTATAGCTGTTTTTTGTAAACTCATATTCATGCATGAAAATGTATTATTTTGAGAGAGAGATAATGGGGAGGCGGGGGGAGAGGTGCAGAGGGAGGAAGGCGGGGGGTGGGGGGCAAGATGATGAACCTGTTGGAATGGAGAGTCATACTTGATCAAACTGGTGTGTACACAAAAAGTTAACTGCTGCAGAATGAAACCTCTAAAGAGGTTTGCTAATGGAAAGTCATTTCTAGAAAATGGCTGTAGTTTTAATGACACAGAGTAATGTGCATGTCTCTTTTGCACTATCTGTGTGATCACTATTGTCTATAGGGAATTACTTCTGCTACCATCCTTAAAGGTCTGCATGCCCATTAGTGTCAGACACGTTGTAAAAGTGTGTCAAGTTTGAGTTAAAGGATTCAGGCTGTCTCATTATGTCTGTTTCATTAAAAACTGGAGTTAACTTGGCAACAATCATTGTATTATTGTTTTATTTGGTTATAAATATTTTGTCAAGTTTTAGAGATAAAGAGTAGGGATGAATATCAAAACAATAAATCCTCGTTTTTGTACAGAATTATTGCTGTACTTTTCCAAAACACAATAAAGATATCACAGTAAATGAATTACCACTCATCAAATGCTAATGCTAACTTGTATCATATTTACAAAACTAAACTTATTATCCTATCATCATTATCAGGTATTTATTTTGTATTTTGAAAACCCTGTGGTGATTCCATACCACAGACTGTCAGATTTGAAAATATAATAGAAACGCTGATTGAGTTACAATCAATTTCTTGCCTATATGCTTTCATGTCCAGTGTAGTGGAAAAATTCATTGACTTATGTAACAATTGTGTCCTTTACAGTCCAATAGTTACCTGTCGGAAAATGTAGACGATAAGATCCAGAGACTGGAGACAGACAAACAGAGTCTGGCCCTTCAAGTCAGTGTGCTGTCAGAACAGGTGGAAGCCCAGAGTGAGAAAATCCGGGAACTGGAGCTTGGTCTGGACGAACGACGGGACAGGCTACTACAGGCAGAGAAAATGTTACAATCGGTATGTCATCTTTATTGTATAATCCAACAGGCAGATCCAGTGAACCAAACTGTGTGATTTCAATGTGTGATCCATATAGTTACACTCCATTGATGAAACCTTCTTTAGGTCACCTGAGACAAAGTACCAGGGTGACCTTTCGTGATCCCTATTTGTCCGTCATGCCTCGTAAACTTTTAACATTTTCTACTTCTTTTGGAGAACTCCTGAACCAATTTTAATAAAATTTTACAAAAACCTTCCATGGCGAAAGGCGTAGCAAAATGTAAACAGTGTGGTCCATGACCCTCAGGGGCCCGAGGAGCAGGTCAAAAAGGGTCAAATTGATTGAAGCTTCAAAAATCTTCTTCCCAAATCCCTGATAAGTTAGAATCAAATACTCTTCATAGATGGAAAGGCCTTCAGATGCTGTATCAAAAGTGTAAGTTTTGTGTCTCCTGGGTCTTACATTTCCCCCTGGGGAAGAGGTGAAATTTATAATGGTTTATATGAGAAAATTACAATTTTGAGCATAATTTGCTTATTTTCTTTCAGTGATAATTAAAACTTTGTGAGAATTACTAGTATAAGCTGACAGTTTTGTGAGATGCACATATTGACGTCGGCTGACCCCCAAGGGCTGAGGGGCAGGGCCGAAATCAGGTCAAAATTGACTGAAATTTCAAAAATCTTCTCAGTACCAAAATAAAGTAGAACCAAATAATCTTCATGGATGGAAGTGTTTTGTGGTGCTTTACTAAAATCTTAAGTTGCATGGTCCTAGGGTCTATTACATTTCCATTGATGATCCCCTCTGTATGATCATATGTAGATATACTCCATTAATGATCCCCTCTGTATGATCATATGTAGATATACTCCATTAATGATCCCCTCTGTATGATCATATGTAGATATACTCCATTAATGATCCCCTCTGTATGATCATATGTAGATATACTCCATTGATGATCCCCTCTGTATGATCATATGTAGATATACTCCATTAATGATCCCCTCTGTATGATCATATGTAGATATACTCCATTAATGATCCCCTCTGTATGATCATATGTAGATATACTCCATTAATGGACCCCTCTGTATGATCCATGCAGTTTTATTCCTTAACTGATCCCTTCTTTGTAATCCATGTAGTTACACTATATAAGTGATCCTTTCTGTATGATCCATGAAACTACATTCCACGAGTAATTTCCCTATGGGATCCCTCCTTTGTGATCCATGTAGTTACATTCCATGAGTAATTTTCGTATGGGATCCTTCCGGTGTGATCCATGTAGTTCCATTCCATGAGTAATTTTCGTATGGGATCCTTCCGGTGTGATCCATGTAGTTCCATTCCATGAGTAATTTTCGTATGGGATCCTTCCGGTGTGATCCATGTAGTTACACTATATATGTGATCCTTTCTGTATAATCCATGTAGTTACATTCCATGAGTAATTTCCCTATGGGATCCCTCCTTTGTGATCCATGTAGTTACATTCCATATAGTCTGCTTTCAATGGTCTTTAACTTGATTAAATTCTTGTTTGGTTGGTGTTGCCCTATCTGACCAGTCAATGTTATGAAGATGCTTATAACATTGTCAGATGTTTTGATGGGTAATAAAGATAATTCACTTAATCAACTATCCTGCAAATTTTAGATTGCTCAACACTGAGATTAAAACTCTGTGTTTTCATATTTTCACCTTTTTTTAGTTGTCAACATTTGTCCTCTTCTATAACATTTTCACATTTCCTTGAAATTGCTAAAACAATTTCAATAAGATTTTGCAGAATGGTTCCATAGCCAATAAACAGAATTTTTAATTGTATGATTCAAGCTCACAGGTTCTTGAAGGTTGGGACCAAAAGGGGAAAAAAATTCAAACATGAAAAAGAAAATCCTCTTATCCAGAGTGAGAAGTTTTCTGTTAAAATTAAAAGTTTCATAACCCTGTGGTCCCCGTTTCCTTTTTGAAAAGGGGCAAATTTTACCACAGTATATGTAGGAAAAGAACACTTTGGGGAATATTTTTTATTTTTTCAGGTAGGAATATTTCAATCTCGGCTTGAATTATTACCATTAGATAGCAGTTTGACAGTATTGAAAAAAATTATGGTTGGGCACAAATAAGGAAATTTGCTTTAATTTAAAAAAACTTGTCCTCGAGACTTATATGATATAGATTTATACAACTTTCCATAGTTGGAAAAGTCCTAAGATGTTTTATCATAATTGTACATTTCATAGAACTGGGATACTTGGTTTCTCTCTAAGGAGAAGGTTAATGTTTGCTATGGCTTATATAAGAAAATTAAACTCTTTTGTATATCTTTATTATTTTCAGTAAGATATAATTCTAACTACCTTGGCATGAATCTTGGTATATTTTTCATTTTGCCTGAAAAGTAGGATATGTGAAACATATAATTATGCCTTTTTATGAATATAGCAGTATGAATTATTCATAGAATTTTATTTTATGGGGTATATATTTTGTGCTGTTATCAAAACTTAATGGGTAAAAAGTGATATTGAATGCATATTTAAAATAAATACTGTTGTGACAAAATAGCGATACATTTTTAAAAAAAAAAAACTTGTATACAGATAATTTTCTTTCCTGTTTGATAATTAGTATTATCATTTTTTGAAAATATTCAAAGCCAACTAGCTAAAAATAATTGGCATTTGATTTCTGTTTTTAAAAAAACTATTACAATATTTCCATCATAGATATAAAAGCACTATTTAATTTGGTGTATTTATCATTTGTTATTGTACATTTTTAAGGAAAATTCCATATCTTTAAGGCACTTGGTAATTTGAATTTTGACATGAAATAACAGGTCTACCAGTCATTTTCTTTATCAGTATTTCAGGAATGTGCTTTATTAAGTGTTTGTAGATGTGTGTGCGCCAGTAAGTTAGAGTTACTTCCCTTCCCGCCAGACAACCTTGACCTTGCCGTATGAATACAGTAGACAGAGTTTTGGGAGAGAAGAAAAGTTTTAATAGTTGTTTTGTTTGGCTTGTTAGTGCAACATTTGGTTAAAGAAGTAGGTAAGTACAAAAAATAACACCACTAAATATGATTTATGAAACTTAGAAGTTGACAAAGCGTTTTGAAAAGGCACAGTTATGAGATTATCTACTTCTATTTTTGGCCGACTTTTTTTTTGCATGGCATGCATTGGAGTGCATTGACTCGTCTGTGTAGTCGGTGAAGTAATCCTAAGGAAGGCAGGTACTGGCGATGATATGTTGATGCTTGATTAGGTCTGTAGATGGAATGTGAGAAACGATTAAGGTGTCAATCGGATTAATTCAGCCTTAAAGCAGACGGCCTTTGTTATAGCCTCCAAATGCCAAAGGGGATTTTGTTTGTTTATTATGGTCGGCACTGCCTGGTCAGTTGTAAATCACTTCCGGTTGTAGTCCCAAGATTTGACACATGTAGGACGTTTTTTAGAGGGACAGAAGGTAATGCCGGGTTTAAGAAATTCACAGGTAAATTTTGTTTACATAATTGATGATCAGCACAAGATGGCTGTGGAAGTTAGCACTACACCCACCATGCTCTAGTTTAGGTTTCTATCTCCAGCAATCTCACATGTTCATAATGAAACATTACATGTAGAACCTGGTGTTCCATTATAAAATGTTGTGGTAAATATGTATCAAATCTGTGCTTGGATGTAATTAAGTGACAGAAAAAGGTCCAATTTACATTTATTGGTTGTTATAAATTGTACACTTTGTTAAAATGTAACTCAAATTTAACATTTATAGGACCCTTCAGACATTTATGAACGGTTAGTGAATGTCTGTTTATATATCTGACAATTTGTTACTGCACAAATGATTACTTTATTGTTGACTTAACACTTAGAATCCCCTACTGAGTTGTGGATATTGTAAAATTATTGACTCATTTTCATTTTCATTTGTCTGTGTGATCAGTACACAATCTGCTGCCTTCATAAAAGGATATTGATTTTGGACTTTCAGATGGTGTTGTATGTTGATTTAGTGTGGTAGAGTATAAGTTACATATAAAATGTGTACATCCTAGTAAAGATGTGATGATAGGTTTTTTCTTTTTTGTGGAAACTTCAAAAGGCACCTTGTGATTCTTCTTCTTTATTGTTTTGATGTGGTAAACAGATGTTGATAACAATGGCGTGTGTTTTTATAAAATCGTAACAGGACACAATACCAAATCTTCAAGAGTTTTTATATTTTTGTTGTAATCATTCTTATCTTGACAGCTGATATAAAAGTTCAGTGATGTATTTTTTTTTTTTTAGTTGATTACAATCTAACTTTTCCATATAATATGTGAACTTCGCAAAATCAATATTGCATTTTTTAAAGAATGGAACAAATTCCCATCACCAACCCTGTATATTATCTATATGGTACAGTGTAATATTCCATAGTAATTTTACTAGTTAGAAACAACAAAATTCTATAAATGTGTTGACTTTTGTATGTTTTTTTTTTTTCAAATCTTATAATTTGATATTTGGTTTGCTGTTTCTTGGAATGATATACAATAACAAAAATGATTATACCTTGGATGTTCAAAATATTAGAACTTCCTTCTTCAGTTTCAAGTTGTAGCTTCATAAGATAACATTTCTAGTTTGTAAACTCATACATATAGGGGAGATAATTCTTAAAGATAATAAGTGCCAGTTGTTAATATGATGCTTATCAGGAATGCAGGTTTAAAACTAGAGATTAAACACTTTATTTCTTGGGGACCTCACAAAGTTTAGAAACAGATAATGTTATAAGATGGTAGTTCGATGTATACTGCCCAACAAGCTCTGTTGCTGTTCTATAGCTGTGGTAGGCCACTTATGGAGGCTGCTGTACAATAATTGTTGTGTCAAAGTTAATTAATGTGCACATATGTGTTAACTGGCAATGTCTGAACATTGAAACACCAGTGCCTGGTGATGGTAAGTACACTAATTGACTAATGAGTTACAGAACAATAC